AATGAGAGCATTTAGTACCACCCGAAGATGTTCGAGATATAGAGGTCTTACCAGATTTTTCGCTGCTTGCAAGCAGAGAGCTCGTTGAAGAGGGCGTAGGTTGCCCAGTCTTAACACCTTTAGAGGTCAATACTGCTCTTGGAGTTTCAATATGGTTGCCAGTTATCATGACCCTCTGTCGGATAGCTTCTCTTCTAACATGTGCGTAAGCCTGTTCAATAGTGGGAAACGGGTGCATTTGGAGTACATCTGCCCGAATCTTGTCTARTCTGTCATCAAGACCATCCAGGAAGATATACACTCTCTCCTCTTGAAGGAGAGTATTGTACCGTTGAATATCTACCACACACTCCATCGGATTCGGACGACGAAAATCAATTTCTCTCCACAATCCTTGGAGATCATTATAGTACTTTTCAAGAGACCCTCCAGACTGGTGCAAGCGGGTCACATAGCGCCGGAGATCGTATACTTGCGAGGTATCACTACCATTAGAGTACGTGGTAGCCACAGAATTCCACACCATCTTTGCTGTAGGGAATCGAATAAAGTTACCAATCAAGGATACGTCCATGGAGTTAATTAACCAACCTTTGATAATAGCGTTGTCGGTGCGCCACTTTCGAAAGGTTGGGTCAGTTTGTGGAGGCTGAGGAAGTTCTCCATTAATATATCCCAGTTTGTCTCTGCCAGATATATACATCTCAACAACTTGGGACCAAAGGGCATAGTTGGTGCCATCCAACTTGATACCGATCTGAGCAGCAGAGGTTTCTGTAGTTGAGATCGGTCTGTGCAGGAGTTCAGTCATTCTGGTGGTCAATTCAGTGAGAGTAGGATTAGACCGTTGTTCTCCAAACGGATCTGAGGTTTTCGAATCAGACATGATTATCAGCGGGTTGTAGCGGTAGTAGCACCGTCAACCATGATGGGGCGGCGAGATTGCAGCAGAGCACCTGTCGGTCTTGCGACGACAGTAATAGTAGCCAACCACCCGGGGTTCGTGGTGAGGTTGATAGTTCTGGATAGATCCACTGCCGGAGTTGCAACAGTAATGGCAGTGGATAGAGCCACCGCCGGACTTGCAGCGGTAATGGCAGCGGTCACCTCCTGGTGACTAAGATTTCGCGGCGACCAGGATTTGCAGCGGTGATAGCGGTGGTCCCCTCCTAGTATCCACAAAAAACAATAACAGGAGATCTCGGCTGACAGATTGAGAACTTTGATTGAACCTCAAGAAGAAGAAGCAGAGAGCAGAGGAATCCTCAATGTTTTTTGTCGACGAATGCAGCGAGCATTCGTACCGGTGAGAAAAACATTGAGGATTCCTCTGCTCTGGAACAATCTCCGAAACCAGGAAGCTTCTTCGCTTTCCTTCCGGTGAGAAAAATTTTTCCTTGATCGTCTCGATCGCTAGGTGGAGAAAACGATATGGAAGAACAACCTCCCGACGACCGAGTTTTCGCAGCGATCACGACCTACAACGGAGATAGTAGTGGTTGCCTCCTGGCGACCGAGTTTTCACAGTGATCACGACCTGCGGCGGTGGTAGCAGTGGTCACCTCCCGGCGACCAAGTTTTCGCAGTGATCAGAACCTACAGCGGTGATAGCAGTGGTCACCTCCCGGCGACCGAGTTTTCGCAGCAATCACGACCTGCAACGGAGATAGCAACGGTCGCCTCCTGGCGACCGAGTTTTCGCAGCGATCACAACCTGCGGCGGTGATAGCAGTGGTCACCTCCCGGCGACCAAGTTTTCGCAGCGATCAGAACCTGCGGCGATGATAGCAGTGGTCGCCTCCCGGCGACCGAGTTTTCGCAGCGTAGGGATTTGCAACGGTAATAGTAGCAGATGGAGCCTCTGTCGGCGACCAAGATTTCACGACGATCATATCGTCGAGTTTATCATGGATCGGTATGCTCTGATACCATGATAACTCGAGTAGAATGAGAAACTGTTCCTCTCTTCTTCTTATTTTCTTCCTTTGCAGGGGTTCAGAATTATATATACAAGCATCTCCTAATTATCCATAGATTCTGGTTCTACCTCTCCTAGTTACATACAACTTAGGCTGAGAGTTATCCCTGAATTCAAGGGATATCCCCTAGTTTTACAGCTCACGCCAATACTTATTACAACTGTTAGTGTCGTATTCTCTAGATATTATAACTACTAGCATCGTCTCTCCTCATCCTTTTTTTATTTATTTCTTTCTCTATTATCTTCTTTTTTTTTCTCTGGAAGTTAAGCTTATTGACAGTGAATTGTTGGATTTTGGATCGTATCATTGTAAATCTCTTCCCAGGTCTTCAGACTTGTCGGTCCTCTTGTGTTTGTATCTCTTAACAGTTCCTGTGTTTGGATGGATATTAATTAGCTCCTTTTTTTCTTTTTCTTTTTTATGTTGTTAAATGGATGGGTTGTTCACTTCAGATCATTAAGTTATGGATAGTAGGTGCTCTATCTCGTCTCTCTGTCAGTCTACGCTTCCTGGAAGTTAAGAAAGTGTTCCAGTGACATGCGATTTTAAGAAATGTGATGAAATACTTCTTAGGGGAAGGAGAGGTGGTTAATTCAAAGGAACAACCAAATATATATATATATATATATAAGAAAAAATAAAATGAAAGGAATTGGTGGTACAACAAAATTGGGTAAGATAGATCCAGATGGAGGTTTCCACACAATAAGCTCGACTGAGTTTAGGAGATAAGTAAGGAGGGCAAGTTACCAAAAATGATGATGAACTAAAAAAAGAGAATAAAGAAAGAAGATAAATAAATAAAGCAAAAAAAGGAAAGAAGAGATTCAAAAAAATATATAAGTAAAAAAATAAAAAATAAATAAAAGAAAACAAGAAAATATAACAAGATGGAAATAATTCCATAAGGCAAATGAGTAAATAGTGTTTCATAAGAAAATAACAAAAAATAATAATCAATAATCAATAAAAATAATAAAAAAGGAAAGATGACAAAAATATAATAATAGTTAAAGATATAAAAATAATGAACAATAAAAAATCAAAATTAAAATCTTAAATTTTAAAATAGGAATAAAATAAATAAGAAAAAGAGAGATAATAATAAAATAATAAAATAAAATGGTTTGATAATTATATGATTTTCTTTCTTCGTCATTATATGGTTTGATAATTATATACCCGTGATCATGCTTGCTTGAGACCTCATGTGGGCCCCACCTATTGGACTCGGGAGAGGGGTGCCTAACCCCTTCCCTCTCCCATCCGAGTCTTATCCGGACTGGTTTGGCTAGTGCCTTGAGCTGATGGAGTCACTTTGGAACCGGCATTTTTTAAAATCATTCTCAAAGGTCTCATCACCTCCATTTATTAACCATTTATTAATATGATGAGTGGCGACTCCATTTCCAGCCCAAGTGAGTCATTTCCCTTCTCGTGCTTAATCCTATTTTATGTAAAAATAAATAAATAAAAAAATTTACATATTATATACGTTTTTGTTCAATTAAGATTTTTTAAAACTAACCAGAGAGATGGAAGGCTGCTTACCTTGGTATGCTAAGTCCTAGTACCCAATATATACCAATTTAGGGTGTGTCTTGCAAGCCTATAAAATCTTTCAAAGGTCTAATAATAAGGAAAGCAAAAGCATCCCCACAGTAATAACTTATCCAATTTGTTAGGCTTAGTAAATGATGCAAACCTACATTTTTATTTAATTTGTTTATGTATTCACTTATTTGACCCATAACTTTTTACAATATACTTGTGCAAAGTGTATCTATTTTCTTCATTTATAAACCTTTATAATACTATTTACCATTTTTCTACTAATAAATACATTTTTGTCAAGTGAAATATTTGCAATATTGAAAAATAGGAGAATATATACAACAATATATGTACTTAAAACTTAAAAGAAGGATGTTGACATTCCTTTTCAGATGATATTTTCATTTAATTTTCAAATGAAAAATTAGACACGTACTGGAACCTAATTTAGTAGTTCTAATTGACTTTGTGTTCAAAAGACATGAGACCTGGATGTCTTTACTCCAATATGGGGTACTCTAAATAAAATTCCAAATACAGCTTAGCACCAAATATTAACAAAAAAAAAAGAAAAAGAAACCTCTAATGAATGTGAAACTAACCCATTCACTCCTGTCATTAATAAAAGTTCCCATTAATCTAAATCCTGTTCTAAAATTTTGAAATATATGAACAAACTTCTGCCATTATCTTCTTAAAAAATATTAATAACAAATGAAATGAAACCTGAGGTGAGATCTTCAATTATCTGCTTAAAAAATATTTATAACAAATGAGATGAAACCTGAGGCGAGATCTTCAAGCCAAATTGGGAGTAGAGACCACATCTTGGATTCCTCTGAGGCCTTCCATGGAAATAGTCTGTTGATGCTCTTCCACCATTCCAATCGTTTCATTTCATGGTTGAATGCCTACAAAAGCACACCCACTCAAATTACCAGGAATTGATGGATCAAAAAAAAGGTAAGAATTGTATTCTAAATGCTGACTCGGTGTTACCAAATTTGTTAAAAGAAAAGTGAAATAGAAGAATAATGATAGATTTTCCAAATTAGCTCCTTACCATGACTTTCAAATAGCGCATTCTCTCTCTTAACAATACGGAATTTTATAACCATTAAATGATAATGTAATAACAACATTTGTCTGTTTTTAATTCTGTCTTTGTAACAGGTGTCTCAAGATACAAAAACTCTCATGCATTAAAATATCCGAAAAGCCACTGCAGTTTACTTTATCGAGTCATTAAAAGGAAGGGTAGAATTGGAAACAAGAAATCAGGATCTGTCGACAAACTCAAAGAACCCATGCTCATTTTTATAGACACATACGTATAATGGGTATGTGAAGGGCCAAAAGGAATCTTTTCATTTGAAGACATTTCAGTATGTTAAGCACTTTCCTGCATGTGTATACACATCCAAGCAAGCCGTTTCACAAATACCCATGAAATTGATTATTTTCTCATTAATTACTTACAATTATTTCTATCTCCACATCAATTCTCAAGCAAAATAATCTTAATTAACATGAAAATTAACTCCAAAAATTTAAGCAAAATTTCTTCTAAAATAAACCTTATATTCTATCTCTCTCCTTCATTTCACCAACTCTGAAATCCAATCAATATCCGGCAAATCCGATACGTCCCAACCAAAATTTCTCTCCCTCCCTTCATCATCACCATGATCATATATCTTCAATTTCTGAAAACTCTGTGAAAAATGCCAATTATCTTCTGAAGGAATTTCATTCTTACTGGATACAGGCGGATTATACGATGTTATGTCTATCTCTCTATCGTCTGCTGATGCACCTGTAATTCCTTCTCCGAAGTTCGACCGATCCATCGGAGCCCCATAGGTATAATAGCATTTGTATTTGGTCTCCGACCGTAGCTGTTCTGGCGAATGCGCAAAGAAACAAACCTTTCGCCGGCAATACTTTCCGGCATTGCATGCACGAGTCCGATACTTTGCGGGATGCAGCCAGAACTCGAAAACCCCGTGTGCAAATTCGCATGAATCGCCCTTTGGGCACTCACCGGACCGGAACTCTGGACAAACGACGGCAGCATAGTTGATTTTACGTGGATCACGACGCCGCGCCTTCTCGCCGCGGTGCGCATAAGGACATTCCGTCCAGTCATGGCTTCGATTCCTGGTGCATCTCTTAATCTTGAATGCGTACATTCGGAATTCGTCGGAGTCGTACATCTCATCATCACAACCGGAGAAGTTTCCCGGCTTGATAGTCTTTGGTCCAGGCCTCGAATATTCAATAAAACTGGGATTTACTCCCTTCAACATCTCTACGAGCTCGCAAGAATTTTCTTTAATGGACAGAATATTGCATGCACATGCAAATTTTTTTCAAAAATCACAGAAAAAAAATCAATAAACAAACAAATAATCTCAGGAAATGGCTGGAACAATCCAATTAACAAGAATTGTTTGATTTCATTTCACAATTCAAAATCACCCGTGCATTTCTGCTACCTTTTTGAAAATCCAAGAAAATGGGTAGTAGTGAGAACTCTTTTGCAGAACTGATGAGACATGCAGAATGGAAATCGATGAGCTTTGAAATTCTCCATGTATTATTAATTAATAGCATTTGAAATTAATATAGAAAAAAATAAAGACATAGAGAGAGAAAAGATGAAAGCAAAACAGAAACAAGAAGAAGATGAAGAAGAAAAAGAGCCATTATTTAGCAAATAGAAGCATGAAACTGGCGCACCTCTTCAAACAGATGGAGTACAGAGAGCAGAGAGATCAGAAATGTCCTAACAACACTATTTATGGTCTACCAACTCTACTCATGTAGAGTTGGAAACTAACCTGGATGGTCAGTTTCTAACCAGTACAGACTACAGGCTACAGAACTCTCTCGACTAACGGTAACGGATGCTTCTCTACTACTCTGAAAAAAGTGAAAAGTATCTAACCTGAAATTCAAACCTGACGGTCGTTTGGAATTAACGTCAGAAGAGATGAAAGAAAACGACGCTGCAACTCCACTGTGAATGCATGAGAAGGAGGCAGGAGTTTGCGAAGAATGGAGAGCGCATGCAGTCACACGTGGTACGTGGCTACTGCGTGTAACTTATTTGGTGAAAAATTTAGCGGGATTATTTGTTAACGCGTGGAGAGTCTCATAGATTCTTAGCTGGAGAGACTCTCTCTCTCTCTCTCTGTGTCTGCCGCTAAATTTAGAGGTGGGCAACGTCATGGATGCTTGGTAGCCAAGTAGGCTAACGAACAAAGAAAAAGAGCTGTCAGTAGTTTCTGTGGCGATGCATGGCAGGACGAAACTTTCGTCCCTTCTCGGTCGAACCGTGACACATGCCGAAAGGATAAGGCTTAAGAGTAAGACGGGAGAACAAAGGCTATCTGTACACAATCCAACCATCGGAGTCAGCCTGCTATAATTGTCCCAGTAAAATCTATTAGAGCAATCGGAGTTTTTTGCCTTTTTCTTTTCACAAGTGGTGAATGGTGATCAACAGCCTAGACTGTTGAGAACGTTTCCATGCACGAGGTCACACCACTAGTGTAGGGGTAAAAGAGTAATTTCCCTCTTTTTTATTTATTATTTTGCAACGTATCAGCCGATACCTATTGTTTTTGAAGAGTTCCAATACACGGAATATGTAGAATTAGATGATTTCGTATTTTTTTAAGTATAAGCTGATACAACCCGAAACATATGCATTATGTATCACCTGAGTTTAATTTCTCTCTCATTTTTAAATTTAAAATTAATTTATCTTTTTTTCTCTCATTAATATTAATTTTAATTAAGTCATAAAGTTTGAGACGTCACTAAATGCTAATATTATTTAATTAAATGTTTATTTGATTTACCTTTAATTACCACATTTAATATGTCAATAATGGTATTTAAGTCAAATAACTTGTTAAAAATCACAAATAGTAAGTAACAAGTTTTAAACCCAAGTCATTTACTTACAACATTAATTAATTAACCATTATGTCAACATTAAATTCTTATTAAAACAATATGCTTTTTTACACTTAAAGTAATATTTCTTGCCTTGGTGAATGTTTCCCAACAAATGCTATAATTTGATTATTACTATTTATATAATAATAAGATGAATACAAATTATATTTATTTATTAAAAATTAACGTATAAATTAACTTGTATACATAATAAATATTATCTAAATCTATATATAATAAATACTAACTAATAAATGACTTCAAAAAAATATTAACTAATAAATATTAATATATATACACACACATGCATTTTAGTTCTTCTATTATTTTTCAATGGTTACTAATTATATCCTGATATTTTATATAAATCATTAAAGAATAGTTTTTATGTTTACATAAATTAGTTATAACTTATAATCACATAAAACTCATTTTTATTGTTGTTCATATTTTTCAAGGATTGTTTTTTGAATTTTCTAGTGTAACCATGCATATCTTGATTTTTCATCCATATCTATGCATTTCCAAAGCGTATCTCAAATCGTCTCTTAAAATTACCTTTTTAATACACCTTGCATTTCTAATATTTTGAACCTTGATCATAAAAAAATTAAGGGTATGAATGAATTAAACATTTCATGGTTGAGAACGTTGTCAACAGCGCTGGGTGTTAGGGGCAAAGTTTTTTCATGAGCAATCGGAATTCAATACGTATAGGCTGTGTTTAGTTTAAATGTAAAAGATAAGGAAAGGAAGGAAAAGATAGGTAGGTAAATTTCCCTTCCTTTCAGGTTTTCCCTACCCTTTTCTTTCAAGCCATTCAAAGCCTTATTTGATCCACTCCAACAACAATATGTATAAATATGATGAAAATCGATACATATTGATATTTTGAACCCCGTAACTTAAGTAATAATTATGAGCTAACACATCAATAATCCTTCTGGATGTCATTTGATTTGTTTAATTTTTGAAACCACCATCTTGCCTCTACCCCCATCGTCTTTCTTCTCTAGTCCAACAGCCAATTATCAAACTAACCCAGAAATATCAAAGCATCTATACTCCGCTCGTGATAATAATTTTAGTTACCGTTGACCGTTAAAATCAGGTCCTACTGCTCGCTCCAGATTTGATCCTCAGATAAAAATATAATTAATCATATTAAAGAAGAGAATGTCACAAACAGGCATTATTTTTATTAGGATAAATTACAGTTAAGCACCCTATACTTTAATGGGGTTGTGACACTTGAATGGCTAATACAAAAGAAGCCAATACTCAGATTCTCCTTTTAATCTTCTTTTACCTTCAGATGCAAATAATGGTGAAAAAAAAATTGTGAAGAATGCAGAAATCAACACGTAAACATTGCTAAGTATTTATCCATCCTCTTAGTTTGGAGTCTTCATTAAAAACTCAATTGTTATCAACTGTTTCCAAATGTTTTTATTTAGGTGCAAACTTTAGTTCCTTTGCTATTCTAGAATCAACATTTCTCTGTACTACCTCTGAATTGCGTATAAAATTAGCAAAAGAATAGTTAAAAAAGAAAATTCGAACAAGAGAATTTAAGTAACTTTCACCCTCAGTATCAGTAACACTAGATTCACAGAATTAAACATAAGTTTATATTTCTGAAATGTTTAATGTATTAAAATGTTGCATTTAAAAGTTCAGACCCTTAAGTGTCATTACGCCAAAAGTATAGGATATCTATCTGTAATTTATCCTTTTTGTTATTAATGAAAATGAAATATAAACTTTAAAATCGACCCAAAAACGAAATTGTTTTGGTGGCAAATAATTAATTCAAGCACATGTTTTTCTAAAACCAATCTAGAATCAAAATTATTTTTCGACCGATGTTAAGCAATTCAATTATCTAGGCTGGGTCAACCCACAATTGTCATAATAACAAGTTAAATAATAATTTTTAATATAAAAATAAATATAAAATAATATAAAAAACTGTAAAAAATTTTAGATATATCTCTAATATTTTATAATAACATTAAAGAAAAATAAGTGTGATAAACAATGATCACTTTAGGAAAAATCTATTTTTCTGTAAAGAGAACATACCAAAAAAGCTTTGACCAATCAAAACCAGCCATGAACATTGATAAATACAACATGATGTGGGGCTCAGGTTGGGATTTTCTAAAAATCTGAATAAGCAGTGTAAATGCCAACTTGGGCCGGCCTACCTGAGTTGCAAGTTGCACTCCTAATTACCACTTCAACGATACCAGACGATTGGTTAAAACTAACTTGGGCCTGCCTTCCCGGTGACATGTTCAACCTTTATGTTTAGTTTGAAGGAAAAGGTAGGGAAAACCTATACAAGATTTGTAAAAGTTTTCCTACATTTTCCTTCCTTTCCCTACTTTTTCCTTCAAACCAAACACAATATTAGGATCAAATGTATCAAACCTTGATGTCATGATTTAAAAAACAATGATAAAACACAAAAAAAAAAAAATTACCATGGAATGTTTCAAAAGTACATGCCAACAGATAGGTTAAAACTCGATTAAGGCTTAGGTCGGGTCAATATAGATTTACCACTTGACCTGGTGCACCGACAACCCTGATCCATGAAACCTGAACATGAAGCTCCTACCGACAACTCTGTTTAAGTCCGTCATGGAATTACGTTTACTTTATCTCATTGAATTTTACAAGAGAGGCCAATGTTACAACAAGACTACAACATTGAAAAGGCAACCTTCATTTTTTTCCTATTTATATCTATCTGAAAGAATGGAACCCTTTTTCTGGCCCAACAATCAAAAACAGAAGAACCATAAAAAATGAAATTAAAGAAATTACAAGGATGGTACCGTGAGATTAGTGAATTAGGGCCAAGTATACACGTCCTCTCTCTAGCTTTGTTTAGGATCCGGGCCCTCACTTTGGTATCTTTCAAGTACTATGTTACAGTTGTTCATTGTGCGCGCATCAAGGAGGCTGTGATTCCATAGCTTGATCATAAACAACCTCCAACACCTGCTCAGTCCACAAGCATGTTAGCATACCCAATCAAACAGAAACCATTTCAAGCATAGGGTGACATACTAAACAACTGAGTGATCAGATATAGGGCCAGAATACGACCATATTATTAGAAACACAGAATGTGTTCTACCATGTTTGGATCGGATCATCAGTCTCCTTGCGTTCTAGGATTTCATCCTAGTTTACCAGACTTGGCAATATTTATTCTTTATTTATTTGTTTTATCAGCAATACTACTGTTAAAAGAATCCACGAGTTCCATATAATCTGAACCAAGTTGCATAAAAGAAACTAAAAGGTAACGCAATCAGTAGGGATGATCATGGGGCAGGCCAGGCATCCTGCCTAGCAAATATAAATTAATAAATTATATTTTTACAAACAAAATGTTATTTAATTTCATAAACAAAATTATGGAAAAAATATATAAAAACTAATTGTTCATATACTAATATATTATATCATATATTTTTTATATATAAATATATATTTGGTATAATATTTTACAATATATGAACTTCCAGCCAGGTTATCAACATCCTTGTCCTAAGCCATGTCCCAACTTCATGGGGTTGGCTACATGAATCATGTTTTGCCATTCCATTTAGTTACTTATTACTTCCAAGTCCCTTTTCAGTCTGCCTTAGCTCTTCTAGCCCCTTCAACATGTAATAATCATTTCTTTTATGCATGTGACCGGACCATCCCAATCTACATCTACTCATCTCATTTTATCACCTATTGGAGCTACTTCATTTCTAATCCTATCCTTTTTAGTTTTATCAGTCATCCATGTAAGCATTTGGACATGTTTCTTAACTGCCCAATGCTCTGCTCCGTACAACATAGGTCTTACATTTGTTTTATAAGATTTTCCTTTCAGCCAAAATGGTATACACCTATCACATAACACTCCAGATGCACCTCTCCTAACTTTGCATTTAATCCTTTGAATGTAAAAATAAATTTTTATTAAAATAAAAGGGGAAAAGAGAGAGAATAATACATGAGACCCGGTAACAAAAAAATGCTAGTTTCATCAATTAATACTATGTCATCAGCAAAGATCAGGCACCATGGGACCTCCTCTTGAATATGTTTAATCACTAACCTATGAGTACTGCAAATAAATAAAGAAAAAGTACCATGATGATGGCTCCTTGTAACTGTAAAATCTTATGCTGCTTCTACAGGTGTTTTAACATTGGTTTTTTGCACCTTCATACATATATTAAATTATGTCCACATACCTATTATATGTCCACATACCTCTTTCACTTTGATAACAATAATTTTACTAAGATAGATGTCATTTCTAGTACTATTAGAGTCACAAATTCCTCCTCCACTAGAACTCTCTACATGTTTTTCATTTGATAATTTTTCAAAATAGTTTATCAAGACAATTTGATCTTTCTCTTTAATGTATCCAATTAAATCATTGCCTTTTTGTCTCTCATTTTTGACTGATTATAAATTCCATTCTATCCCTCATTAGTGCTCAACTTATGATATTGTTCATCATATGCCTAAAATTTAGTTTCACTCACTTTCTTTTAAATTCCTTTCTTATGCTTTTATATTTTCTAAGTTTTCTACATTTATGTATGTCCGACAAAGACACTTCATCTATTTATGAGAGTACATGTAACACCCCCTGTACCATTTGACCTGCCAATAGAAGTATATTGCTGAATTGGATCATCTCATGCTTATCGAGGGACTCGCACAACTTCCTGTCCCAAGAGGTGTAAAGTGGGCCGTGTCGGGCCAGCATGGCATGAATTTTCAGGCCACCCATGATTTAATGGGTCGTGCCGTGATGACATGCAGGCCTAGGTGGGTCGTGCCTGCCTAGCCCAGAACCCTTAAAAGGTCAGGCCTGGCACGACCCACGGCACGAGCCTAGGAGAGCCCATGTTGGGCCGTCAAAGGCATATTTAAAAAATTGAAAAATAATGAAAAAGTTACAATAAATTAGCAAAATAGACAAGAAATTGAGAAACAAAATCTTAAAATTTTATTCTATATGAATTTTGATGTATACAATTGTTTAAAAAAAATCTTAAAATTTCTATATGAATTTTATTCCATACGACCCACTTTACAGCTCTACCTGTCCCTAGTGACCATATCCATTCCCACAATAATGCAAGTGTGATTGGGGTCAAGCACAAGGTTTTTTTTTTCCGGTCAATTAGTCCAACAAGCATAAATTAGTTCTCATCAGTAACAATGAGAATCTGCAACCATGGCAAGAATAGGTGTAGAATGTATACGAATGCAAATTTTACAAGAAAATAGGCAAGAGATGTGCTACCAAATGAGATTAGGGGCTCGGACAAGGTCCCTTCCATGCAGTCTTGAGAATGCCTCACATGCCCATGGAATATGGCCATCTGCCAACACTCTGCTACCACAAAAATAACCAAGTCAATAATCGCCAACAATAATGTAGATGGTGGTATTTGGAACAAAACATATAACAAAAAAAGAGGGGTCTCAGTTCTCCAATAGGTCAACAAATATATAAAATTTTAGATGTGAAACATATATTTAGGCCAACAAACATAAGGGTTCAAGTCAAGGTACCCAATTGCACCTCATTAAGCTTTGGAAAAAAAAAAGTCAGGCACCCAATTTGAGGGATTTACACTGGATTGGGCCCAGGTTATCACTCCAAGCCACTTCGAATTTTAACACATGCTCAACTTGAGCCTGCTAAAGTTGGAACCCTAAACAAAAGGCTTGAAATTCATACAACTGAGTTTTTCATCCAATCGAGGGATTTTATTTCTTCATTTAGATGTCAGCCATGCCTTTTGACCAAGAAAGGTGGGGGTGCAAGTCAGATTTCTAATTTGAAGAATTTACACTGCATCAGACCTGTGTTCTCATGCCATGCCCCTTCAATCTTTAATAAATACTCAACATGATCCGGCCGAAGTTGCTACCCTAAACAAGGGGTTGAAATTCTTCAAATTGTGAGGCTTTTCAGCCAATAATTTCATACAATGGAAGACTTTTATTCCATTGTTGTTCCTTTCAAACATTTAGTAAGCCCCAAGGGTTATTTATCACAGAAAAAGTGAAACTCAAAATGCAGTGTAGAATGGAGCATACATGGACAACGGAAATATAGATGTAACATGTAAGTATGTAACTAGCCTAGGCCTTCCTTATATTGATTATATCAGCCCTTAACATGGCAAGAAACCATCCACTAGCAGTTTTGTTGCCCATAAAGGAAAAAAAATCTTCACAAGTAAACGTATGATTTGTAAAACCTTGTTCTGTATTCTATTCTGCTTATATGCAAAAATGCTTTTGTGATTCCTTGGATGGGTTCTAGACTTCTTGGTGCAAGTTTGGATTGGAATTGAAACAACCCAAAATAGTACAAACATTAAAATATAAAAAAGAAGTACAAATATGAATAGGTGCAAAATGCTCATGGCAAGAGACATTTGTACAAAAGGCATTCTCCCTATTACAGTTGTGCTTGTTTGTGACTGGAAGGTCCTCAAGTAATATTGTAGGGCATTTAAGTGGAAAGTGGGACTTATCATAAATGATCTAAATGACCTAATTCCATATAGACCTGAAATATCACAACCAAAGGTGAGCCTGGGAAATCCAGTTATAAGGTTGGCACAAGGATTGTTTCCATGAGATAGTACGGCTATGCACCAGGATGCATATTGATAAGATCTCATTGAGTTTGATTCATTTGGGTAACTAAGAATGATTCTGTCTTAGGAATGTCCAATAAGAAATCTACACCCATAGACGAGAAGAGTATCACCACCAAAAAGTTGGATTAGAACTCTTGTAGAGAAATCCCAATGAGACTACGACTCCTATACAAGTCCCAAATTAACACCCAGATGAGTATCGGAAGACTACTTATTAAATTGGGACTCTTGGTGAGGAATCACAGTTGCACTAGAACTATAGCATTTTGGCTCTAAAAAATATGGGAAAAGTGCTTCTAGCATTGGGACTATTGAGAAAGCTCCTTAGGTCTTGTCTTGAAGTGCTCTAATCACACAGGGACTCTCAATTTCACCTCGATGGTCATTTTTCATATTTTGCCATGGAGGAGTTTTGAAACAAGTTAAATATTATATGCAAATATATAATCCCATGCAAGGATTAAATATGGTGGTACGGGATACAGATGCATATTGGCTTGTATCGCATTGTATCGGCTGATACACACCAATACAGGCCGCTACGCATCGATACACAGTCTCTCTATAAAAAAGTGTAGGAGTGGTGATTCGAACTCAAATCACCAGAACACGCCCAAAGCCTTGCACCTTAAATGCAATTCTAAGCCACAAAACCACGTTTATCCTTGTGATAATAAATGAAACAAAATAAAATAAAATTGGGTTCGACTATGATATGAAAAAGATATGATATCGGAAAAACAACTAACCAATAAATTGAAATCACAAATGTGGTAGCAAATAAGGTGTTATTTATAAAATATTTAAGAATATAACATTCAACTGAATTTATCAAATCCATTAATCTAAATTTATTTCAAAAAAATATTTTTCATATCAGAAAAATTACATAAATAAAATATTAATAAAGGAATAATTATTGTAGTAATTAAAAATTATGAATTTTTATAAGATATGTATATTATGAATTTTTATATGATATGTATATTATAAATTTTAAAAAATTTGATATACTACAAGTTAATATTAGGCTTTTTATAAATTATTTATTAATATTTTCATTTTTATTAGAGAATTTAATAGTTTTATTAATGTTAAAAAAATTTAAAAAGTAAAATAAAAATAATTTATATAATAATTAAAATATAATAGGTGCATATGTTTAGTGCTTTGAACTCTTGTTTGATTTATTATAAATAAATTTATATGATATCTATGCATCCCAATATATTAATTATAATATATTTCTTCATATATATCATTAAAACATACATTTCCTATGTATTTATATACTATTTGTGATTTGATCTTAAATCTGATGATATTAATGTACTTAAGGAATTTGTATTTAATTTCCTAGCGTATCCATGCATTTTCATATTTTTCGTCAATATCGATGTGTTTCCAAAGTGTATCCAAGTTGTCCAATACAATACCCAATACTAATACTTTAATCATTGACCCCATGTAATGGTAATTGGATCAAACAATGATACTTTCGGGTCTCCCAATCTATATATGACATTGCCATGTAGAGGGATAGAATTATAATTTGCAATGTTGGGAAGTTTTTATAATCCTAGCCACAAATTAGATCTCACACTTTAGAGAACCCTAATTCTTAATGATGGAAACCCTAATTAGATCTCACATGCTCCCCTTGGAGGTATATTTCTCTAAATATATGACACTTAGAGAGCTCAAATAATGCAATTAGATTCATGGTTTTAAATTTCGCAACATATTGGCCGATACGTATTGCTTTGGAAGAGTTTTGATACACGGAACATATACAATTAGATAGCTTCGTAATTTTTTGTCCACATCAGACCGATATGGGTCAGTATCGGCCTCAAATTAGACTGTTTTGGCTATGTATCGGTCGATACAATCCCGAAACAGGCCGATACACATTATGTATTAGCCAAGTTTAATTTTTCTCTCTTTTTTTAATTCAAATTTAAATTTAATTCATCTCTTCTGTCTCATTAATATCAATTTTAATTAATCCTTTAAATTTGAGGCATCATTAAATGCTAATATTATTTAATTAAATGCTCATTTGAGTTACCTTTGATTAAGGCATTAATACTTCATTAAATGTAATTTAAGTCAAATAACTTGTTAAAAATCATAAACCAAAGGTAACAACTTTCGAACCCAAGTTATTTGCTTACAACAATAATCAATTAACCACTATGTCAACCTTAATTGATTATCATAAGAACATGTTTTTTATGCTTAAAGTAGTCTTTCTTGCCTTGGTGGATGTATCCCAACAAATGCTAAAATTTGATTATTAAAATTTATATAATAATAAGATGAATACAAATTATATTTATTTATTAGAAACTAAGGTATATATTAATTAGTATACATAATAAATATTATCTAAATCTATATATAATAAATATTAACTAATCATGGCTTCAAAAAAATATTAACTAATAAATATTAGTATATATACACACACATACATTTTAGTTCTATTATATTTTTCAACGGTTACTAATTATATCCCCGATACTTTATATAAATCATTAAGAATGGTTTTTATGTTTAAATAAATTAGTTGTAATCACATAAAACTCATTTTTATTGTTGTTCATATTTTTTTAAGGATCTTTTTTGGATTTTCTAGCATATCCATGTGTAAATTGATTTTTCCGTCCATATTGCGTTTCCAAAGTGTATCTCGATATGTCTCTTAAAATTACCTTTCCAATACACCTTGTGTTTCCAATACTTTGAACCTTGATTTGATTAGCCCTAAAAGAAATTTCCAATCTACACATATCGGTGCCTAATAGATCCCATGTTAGAAGTTGGTTTTTCAGATTTAATACTTTGCCTATAGAACAAATAGATCAGTCCTTGATAGGTATCATTTATAGAAAATTTTGAAATAGTCAGACACACTAGAGATCTCAGGTTAAGAAGTGAGACAATTTGGCTTCCAGTGTTTTAAAAGGCATGGGAGGCCTACGGTTCTGACATGCCTTTGGCAAGAGGCTTGCGCCTCCCACGTGTGGAATTTTAAACATGCACCAGGTTTAATTATTTACTTTTTATAAATTCTAATTGTTGGGGCCACGATTATATCATGGCCCCCAATGTATTGGATCATGTTTTAAGTGTAAAAGAGGGGGAAAATATCCCTCCTTCGATAATTTTCAAACCCAAACCATAGGGCTAGAAAGAGAGGGAACTCTGAAGTCTGAAACTTGCATAGTGCGAACAGGCCTCAACTCTCATGTTTCAACCTGCAATTTCCAGCAATCTGGTATGTGAATTTTTTTTTCTTTTCCTTTCTTCTTCTTCACGTCACATACTCAGTCTCAGATATGGTGCTTTTATTTTTCTTTAATTCTTTTTATTTGCCATTGCAATCGAAGAGAGGATGTGAGCCTGTGACATCCTTCTAAACTGAATTTCAACAGTTCAACTTCAACCATCAAAAGCTGCAACGTTTTTTTTTTTTTTTTTTTTTGTGGATCAATAAGCTTCAACAGTTCAACATCATTTCTTTTTTTTTTCTTTCTTTATTTGTTTCTTTTCTTCTTGATTTTAGTAGTTCTGTTTCAGCCTAGATCTTGAACAGAGCTGCATGAATAAAATGCCACAGCCCTGTTATGTAATCTGTTCTTCCTCATTTTTTTTTCTTTTTCTTGAACACATTTAATGGACCGAATAGGCCAAGACCCAACTGCTGGCT